CGGGTTAAAAAATTGGGAAATGCAGTGACCAACGTCATGACAGTGCAGGACCAAATGAGTCAGGTAATCTCGATGGTGTCCTTCGTTTATAGCCCGGCGGCTCGAAAATCAGGAAATTCAGAAATAAAATGAAGGAACAAAAGGTCAGTTATAAACAAGCAGGATCGATGAAATCCGGAATGGCGTCGGCGCCTGTACCCACGTGGGAAGACTGAGCGGTCCACACTTCGAACTTGGGTTTTCAGTTAGACTCAATTGCCACGATGGGAAGGAAGGTGAGGGAACGGAAAGGTGCATGGGTCGGCAAAAACAATATTGTTTAAAAATGTTTCCGAATGGCCTCGAAGTTGATCTGTACAATCAGTGCGGTGACAAGCTCAGCTGCAGGAAAGTGGGTTTAGGGGAGGAAACATGAACGACCATGGAAACAAAAAGCAGTAGTGGACAGCTTGACCAAAAGTTCACGTTGCAGGTACAAGAGCCGGCGTCCCAGCTCTCTTCCAACTGATTTCCGTAGCTTCGTTGGCACGGATGGGAAATCAGTCTCCGTGCCCCCTGCCTGTGGAAAATGTGGTGAAGGTGGGGAAAAACCCTTAGAACCAGGGTGTGACACACACACACACACCTCCCTTTCACCCCTGGTCGTGCACTATTTCAATGGCCACAGGGACGCTCCCTTTCCTGGAGGAGTTCCAACCACTTTTCACGTCCCGTTGTTGACCCTCTTTCCTATCATCGCATGAACTCCCACCCATGGTAGAAGACGGTTTACATTGCCTCCTGAGCCCCTCATGATGCTAATGGTGCACTATTCGCCGTCAATTACATCACTTGCATCACAACACCCCAAGAACCATACATTTTCACTCCCTAGTTTTTTTTTCGCTCTCCCCCACCAGGCTCGGGGCTCGCCCTCCCATTGGCCTCTGTGCGACCACCCCCCCACACCCCCTAATATTCACTTCGTTCGTCCATCCCAACTCCAGCCTAGCCTGTCAGCAGGATTTCGTGATTTCTCAAAATTTGCCTTGTGTATCGTGGTAAAAACAAAGGCGCTGGCAATTCGGCCGCGACACTGGCAAGTAACCCCCCGTAGACACGTCAGAAAACGAGCTGGAAATTTAGTTTCACGGTCCGCTTTTCGCACACTTTGTCTATTTTTGTACCTTTGTCGTGGGTCGTATGCTTTTGCTTGCTTGTTTTTTTTGTCGGTTGATGTCGGTTGTATTTTTACTTTCCGTAGCGCTTGCGAAGGGTTCTTCTGCAGAAAGGGTTTGCGTTACAGACCTGCATTACTAAACTACATTTGAAACTTATATATCTGCGTTTGTAGGTATGCCACAAGCACCTCTGCAGCTTGCAGGTGTGGTTTTCTAGAGAGGTTGCGATGGGGATAGTAACACGACACTTTGCGGAGATGGTGCGTGCCGGATGCTCAAAGGTGAGGTAAAGTGCGAATTAGTGGTGTGCCGGGTGAACCTTTTGCAGAGATCGCGCGCATCGGATGCTCAAACGTGAGGCGAAACGCAAATTCGTGGTGAAGTCGGTAAACCCTTTGTGGAGATCGTGTGTGTGTTGAGTTGCCAAAGTGTAACTGTCGTCGAAACAAAGGTGCATGTACAGCGATGGCGACGGTTAGGCTATGAAGGCGCCGTGTCAAGGCGCTTCATGGCGTTGGGGCAGGGACAATGTGAGATGAATGATTGCCTACTCAAATCAATCTGCTGACGCATGCTTGATCTGCGAATTGCTCGCAATAGGAGTGTTGGCATCTCTTACATGGGTGTAGATAAACCTGCATAGTACGCCCACAACCTCACTAGAAACCTGTGTCCAATGTGTTTTTGTTATGAAAAAACTACAGTGTCACTTATTGAGCTAACCGCCTATAGCGCTATAGGCTATACTGTCCTCAATGCCACAGGTTTGGGCGTGAAGCGATCTATCCTGTTTCAAGCGAAGAAACCCGATAGCTTGCGAACGGATCTATCGGATCCTGCGATTAAGAGCTTGGCCGCCTTGAGCCACTGCATCTGCATAAAGTGTACAGGCTTAGGCTTAAAGAGTACACCGAACGCTCCAGCTTCAGCAAAACTTTCAACCCAAAACTTTTTTGCGCGCAAGAGATACAGGCGATCTTTCGTCTTTCTACCTGTGCGAAAGGGTATTACTTTCCTCGCCAGTCTGCCAAAATGTTGTGCAGGACAATCAGAAAACCTTTGAGGGCCTGGCACAAGCTCACCATTAGCCAACGCAAAACTGACCAACATCATTCTACCAGCAAACCTTGATTCCATCTGCTGCCGCAGTCTAGAAAGTAACGGGCTCCGGCCGGGTTTCTGGTTTAATGGTGTTTCTGGTTCTTGTTGTGGGTTTGTTCCTGGCGTTGGTTCTCGGGTTCGCTTCCCGCCTTGCAAGTTTTATGGTTCCTGGTTTGGTGTTTGGAGCTGGCTGGATTGGTGTTTCTGGTGGCCGGCGGTGTTTCCGGCACCCGGAAGGTGTTTTTCGGCTCCCGCACGGAAAGTATATATATATAAGGAACAGGTGTTTCCGGTTCCGGCCGTTGACAATGGCTGAACGAAAAAAGCAAACAAAGAAAATTCATAAACAGTACAACAAAACCAAAGGAACCAAGGCCAAAGAACCAAACGACAAACGAAGAAAGAATCAAACAAAACACAGCCAACCAACAAACAAACAAGCAAGCAAGCAAGGAAGCAAGCAAGCAAGCAAGGAAGGAAGCAAGGAAGCAAGGAACGAAGCAAGCCAGCCAGCAAGCCAGCAAGCAAGCAAGCAAGGAAGCAAGGAAGCAAGGAAGCAAGCAAGCAAGGAAGCAAGCAAGCAAGCAAGAAAGCAAGCAAGCAAGCAAGCAAGGAAGCAAGCCAGCAAGGAACGAAGCAAGCAAGCAAGCAAGCAAGCAAGCAAGCAAGCCAGCGAGCAAGCGAGCGAGCAAGCGAGCAAGCGAGCAAGCGAGCAAGGAAAGAAGGAAGGAAGGAAGCAAGCAAGCAAGCAAGGACGGAAGGAAGCAAGCAAGGAAGCAAGGACGCAAGGAAGGAAGGAAGGAAGGAAGGAAGGAAG